AGAAAAGGGGTCTTTGGAGGGACGGTAAAAGAGTACAGTGAAGGAGGAATGAATATGACTTTCTTAGAAAATTACTTCTCTGAGGTAATTCGTCTGCCTTTTTTTCTAATAGACACACAAATATATCAAAATCTGATGGCAGTCGCATGGCTGTAAATCAAAAATCCAAAGCTAAAGGGGTTAATTGTACTAAACTGGTAGAAGCAAGTAGACACTGAAGCTAAAACAGACTTCATACTGAGAATAACAATATATAAATCTTCTTTACATATAGTATAACAATTCTGAATACCCAATAGCATTTGTTTTGCATTAAAGTTACCTAGTGGTAGAATACACTGAGTATTTTTTATTAAGTCACAAGGAATATTAATGTAATTATTCATTGTATTGGTTAGGACAAGAACTCCGCAAATAATTCATTTTCTATAAGTTATCATTTCACCGTGTGAAACTGGCTGTTAAAGGCGTGAAAATTTGGAATATACACTATTCCAAATTGTTCTTAAAATTATATTCTGAACAATAATTGCTCTCAATCACTAATACTGAGTAGATCCTTCATTAATAATTTATATTATTGCTGCACACTATCTTGTGTTTTTTTATTGTATCCATATTATAAATGGATGATCAAGGTTACCGAATTAACAAACTAACTAAATGTGAATTGGAAGTAATATATCCAGCTGTAAAATGCAGTTTGCACAGTAACATGGGAGTTATTAGATTAATTAACTAGATCACTTGAATATCAACTGTTATAACAAAATACGTTTTCAAACATTCTCTTTGATTAATATTTGAACTAAAAATGCCTTCTTCACAAGTACTCACCTTAGCCAAAGCTGGAAGTGCTAAGAATTTACAGAAAGCATGTATAGAAGGGTTGAAAACATTTGAGTAGAGATTAGTGTCAATATTAATACAAATAATGGCCACAACATTTTTACTATGTTTATTCAGTTTTGCTTTGAATCTCCTGTATTGATGGCCACACTAGGTAGGAGTACATGCATATATGCCAGCAAATATTCAGCTGGTAAATGGATAAACTTAGAATGAAAACCAACTCTCTCAATTCTGACTTCACTGAAATAGCACAAACACTTATCAGCACTTCTGAAACAGGCCAGTGGATGATGGAAAATGGAGCATGGTCAAGGGTTTAGGAGCATACATGTTAAGTGATGAATCACAATAACTCCCTCTAATTATGCTTCAGAACAGATCATTTTCTTTTTTGCTACTAAGACATTAAATCCCTTTTAAAATACATCAGAATAAAGACTGATACTTTATTTGCCTGACTCTGAAGAAAAAGAATGCTCAGTTCTTTTTTTGTCTTTTTCTCCAACTTCAGAAAGCATTTGCCTATGCAGATGAAGATGAAGGTCGACCAGCAAATGATTGTCTCCTAATATATGATCATGAAGGAATAGGCAGTCCTGTTGGTTCCATTGGCTGTTGTAGTTTTATTGGTGACGATATGGATGACACCTATTTGGATAGGTTAGGACCAAAATTTAAGACTCTGGCAGAAATCTGTTTGGGCAGAGAAATAGAGCCTATTCCAGTTCTTAATGCTACCTTTCCAAGTCCTGAAGTTGATCTAAATCTGCCACCACCCGGAACCACTATCATTGTTAATGGATCTGTACCAATGCCTCCCACAGCTGGCAGTACAACAGTTGTTACTGAAAATACCTATACATCTGCATCTGCTATGCAGCCTGCAAGACCTGTACCTGATCCTTTGCTCCACGGTAATGTAAGAGTGACTGAGACTTACACAACTGGCCCACCTACACATAGTGTTGATCCTCTTCTTACACCAAACGTTGTGGTAACAGAAAGGGTGGTTGGTCCTGCCTCTGATTTGCGTGGCATACTAGATATCCCCAATATAACAGATGGGTCAAATGTTGTTGTTACAGAAAGAATAATCACACCCAATTCCAGGGTTCCCGCTTCTTTGAGTATCCCTGATCTGGCAGATGGTTCAAATGTAGTGGTGACAGAAAGGGTAATTAGACCAGCGTCAGGTATACAAAGCAGTTTAAGTATTCCCTCCGAGTTATCAAATGCCCATAATGTAGTTGTTACAGAGAGAGTAGTTTCTGGTCCTGGCATGACCAGCATGGGTGGCATGAGTGGTATTAGTCAAATGTTGGGCTCAGACGCCCATTTTACCCAGACCCTTGGATCAGCTTCCCCTGGAACAGCTCGAAGAAGGGTGGCAAACTATAGAACAGTACAGTATTCTAATCAATAAGACTTCTATTAGTATTTTCATTTTCCTGCAGATATCATTGATTTGCATTCAAGTTTTTACATTCAAAAAAACAACAATGTATATTTTTCATTATTTATAACTAGCATATAGTACTAAAATTTTGTCTCATAAGGTTGCCCAGTTTCTAAGTGAAACACAGAAATACTGGGCATGTCTACACAAGATGCTGACTGTGCAGTAGCTGAAAAATACTATGCAGTAGTGTGTCAGAGCACGGACAGTGCTATAACACTAGACTACTGCACACTAGACTACTGCACCTAGAAGACGTTCACTGGTGCTACTGCAGAGTAACTTCAGTACTGTGCATTTATTTAGTACTTGCTAATACAAGCACTAAATAAATGAGCAGTAATGTCTGTGTAGTAGTGTCTTGTGTAGATGCGCTCACTGTCAGTGGGGAAAGTTCAGGTAAAGCCCCTTTAAATATGTCCTTTTATTACCATACATGTAATACTAAAACCGTTTAAATTGGTAGAGAATAGGCCTCCTTCTCCATAATGTGGTCTTTCACATGTTTTCAATGCTGAGAGTCAGTGAGAACATTTTTCATTCAAAATATCCCTTCTTGCCTCCCCTGGGATTAGTCACCTTGCTTTTTTGTTTGCCTGCTTTATGTTGTTGGCCAAATGAAAGGGAAAAAACCCCTAGGCCACGTACAGATATTACACTTTTACTGGTATAAGTGATCAGAAATCACTCTATCCCCACAACAGAACAGAAGCTCAGCACTCACAGACTGGTTTAAAAATGGCAGCACCCAGCCCTACGAAAGGGCAAATAAATGTATGTTCTGTTTGCTATCAATCTAAACTACACCGCTTACAGAAAACCGTGCAGTTTAGATCAATATGACCTTGGGCTTTTTGAATGTCTGTACCTAGCCCTAGATTTTTGTGAAAGTATTTAGGAACAGTTTTGAATAGCTAGTGAACTGTCTGCTTCATTCAGTTCCTGAGGAATATACATAATAATATAACATATATGTGAAGTCAATCCAAAGCAATAATTTCAGATTCCATGCGCCTTTCAAGTACTAACCCAACTAAAGTAAAACGAGATTAAATTTGGACAGGGAGAAGGAGCTTTGTATCAATGAAAATGGTTCACTTTGGGTGTGTCTACATGTTCATTAATGTGCAGTGGTTACTGCACATTTAGTTTAGTTGTTGTATAACCAAATTCTAAATAAATGTACAGTAATCAGAGTTACTGCACAGTAGCACTGGCAAACGCCTTTTTAGTGACACTACTGAACAGTAGCCTGATACTACTGCACAGTAGCATATTAGCACTTTCCGTGCTGTGACGCACTACTGCACAGTGTCATAAAGCTACTGCACAATTAGCATCTCATGTACACGCACCCTCTGTGAGTACAATACTGGCATACATTAATTTAATATGGTACAAATACTAAGATCTTGTATCACTGTGATCTGTCATACATATAGCAGATCTACATTTTCATTGGACTTAATGGCCCTTGGTTGTTAAAAAAGACAAACGTGGCAATAGTGCCATGATGTTTCAGGCAATGGACACCACTGTTACTGGTATTTGTCAACACAATATTTAAATCAGCACTTTCATCCCATTTACATTGCATGCTATATTACATAAGATTTACAAAAATTAATCATTTATTACAACTAACACAATATAAATGTATAAAACACAATAAATACTTGTTACATGCACATTAAGTTCTCAGTAAATGTCCAGGCTTCTTCAAAATTTCTAGTAACCTTACTGTCATGGTGAAGGGTTTGAGTGGAAATCCATTGCAATTGACCCATGTGAGTTACTGAGAGTATGAAACTATTAGACATCTCTGTCTCTTCATTAAACATACAACAGCATGTAGCTAAACTGCAGGCTTCAGTAACTCAGATTATTAGATTGTTTTTGTTTTTGGTTTTGGTTTAGTTTGGTTTGTTTTGCAATATTTACTGACCATCAAGTTGTCTCTGTTTGGTATATTATAGTGTTATATTATGACTTACTCATTTTTTATACTAACAGAGCAAAAAGAAATAATAATGTTTTAGCTTTGCGTTCTGGTGATGCA